TTAACATAGGTAAACACTATTATAAATCCATCACAGCTACAGCAGACGATGCATAAGGATTTATAGACATAATTAGGAAGAAAAAAAATATTTTCCAGCCCAGAGAGAGATTGCTTATTAAACGATATTTAATTGCCCGATATTTGCGAAATAAAAACCTTCTTCTTCTTCTGCGAATTGCAAATAAACAATTGATTTGCTGAGTCGAGTAAAAAAAATTCAAAGTGAACATGAAGGTCTTTGTTTGAACCTTAATAAGGTTAGCAATTAGCCTGTTTGTTTATTACCATGTGGCAATTGGGAAAAGATTGTACTTACATTCCCCTTTTTATCTATATACAGTTTTTTGACAGTCATCGAAACAAACAAAAGTTGATGTATTCCAAAGTTAACTCAGGAAAATTTGAACGATTTCGAAAGGTGTAGCTTTAGTGAAGTGTTAAGTTTCAGTTGGTTGCTATGAAACGGATCGAATCCCTTTCCATTTTGTTCTAAAACGAATAAACACTGAAATTACGACTTCAATAGACATGTTGTTGAATTATTTGTTTGTGCTGTTAGACTACTAAAATTTACAAAAACATATACATTTTTACACAAAGAGCAATTTAAATTAAGGCCGAAGTAAAAAAGTTTTTCATCTTTCTACACCACCTCGTTTCGTTCAAGTCACTCGTTAAATAACTTTGGTTAGGTAAATTTGCTTAGGTCTTCATTGCAACTCTGTCTGTTTCCTTTTTTCTCTTTTTTGCAATTGTATACATCATGCGTTTATTTTTGATAAAAAAAAAAAAAGTTTGTATTAAAAAAATGAAAAACACACATGTTTATATGATTTCACGAACAGCTATAATATTCTAATCTTTCACCATTTCCAAGGAATAACATTTCTGCAAACAAACCTGTGCGTGCTGTTGCAACAAAACCGAATATTGATATCGACAGATGTTTTAAAAGCAATATAATTTACTGCACGTTTACGAAAAATTGTTTTAATTAAGCAAAGCATAATTGCGAGTTTGTTTTTTCAATATATTTCTGCCAAATTAATTTTACACTGCGGACATTTCACTTTATCCATATCTGGATATGAAGTATACGTAAATGCAGAAAAAAGTTGTCAATCATAGAGTTAGAATTCAATCAGAGTTATTTATGTGAGATAAATTATCTTTTTTAGTAATTTAAAGAATTTCCGATTTTTTGCAAATTTCGTTATTAATAATTACCTTGTATGTTTAAAAAAAAAAAAAAAGGAAAAAAAAGGATTGTTTCACTTATATTGTAAACTAAACTTTCACTAAACTTCACTGCGATAAAAAGACGTTCAAATTGAAAAACACGATCGCATGGATATGCATACTACAGTCTAAACTTTTCAATAAATAGAAGCGAAACACATGGAAATTGGTATGTAAAAGTAAAGGTGTTTACTCAATTTTTTTTTTTTTTTTTTTTTGATATATTTAGATGAGTTGATTAGGCCTATATACTACTACTTCTTCGCACTTCACGCATGAATAATTTAGTTAAACTATTAATTAAGGAAAATCATTATCTATATTTACTGGAAGGTGAGTTTTTTTTGTTTCTTAAGGAACTTATTTGATCGACTTTTCTTATCGAAATCAAAGCAGAATTTATCGTTAAAGAGAAGAGGAGAGGATAAAAGAGGAAACGCTTAATATACGAATACACTGTAAAATTTAATGAATGATTTTAATCTGCCATTGGACACGTGCACAAGTTTAATTTGACAGTGAACCCTCGTGAATAGAGAGGCGAAATAAAATTTCAACTTAAAAGGAAAAGGTCATAATTTCGTAAAAATTTATTATCAAATAATGATTTGTTTTTATTCTAAAATTTTTATACACTATGAGCCATACGTACTGATAACGAAGATTAATCATATTATTGTTATTATTTATTTACTTTTTTTTTCTTTTTCGGAAAAAACATTCTATCACAGAAGCAAAACTTATAGTCGAGAGACTAAGGGATTAGCTTCTGCAGGCATTTCGATTGACTTAGGGAGATTATATTGACGTCATTTTGGGACTGCAGTCGTTATTTTGATGACTGTGTAGATTTAGTAACAAACAAAGATAAGGCAACAACAACATTATTAACATATATTTAAATAATAAAAATTTTACTGGGTCATCGGGGTCGTAGCTCATTATGGATTCAAAATTTTTGTAAAAAGGAAGCACAAGATGGTAAATACACTTTATACACTTTATTTGTCTGTTGAAGACGAACTCTATCTTAGAAAAAAAAAATTACTTTGACAAACATATACTTGCGTTCGCCTATTAGACCATTTAGTTTTTACATTTTAAAGCTTAATATGTACGAATGTATGCAACACGCAAAAGTGCTCGAGCGACTTGAAAATCGATCCTGCACCATTTGCTGTAGAAGGGTATATTTAGTTTGTGCGGATGTGCTCAACATCCGCAAAGAATTGAAATAGACGCACCTATTATCATACCAAATCAATCCAAGTTTATGCGTCCGTCAATCTGTTTACCTTGTTTTATTTACTCAACCTACACATCGCTATTTTTGAGATATTTTGATGAAATTTTGACTACTTTTTCCATTACTCCCTAAATAAAGCCTTATTTTGAAAAGTCGTTTCATGAATAACAGTACTATCGTAACTGTGGCAATTTGGGCCGCATCTTATCACAATATTTGTTTGAGGGAATCTGCAAGCAGAAATTAAAGCTGGAGGAAAGTGAATAGTTTAAGTGGATCAATCGCCATAGGCCGCAGCCGTCGTAAATGATTTCGTTAACCATGATCCTTTGATTCCATTTTATATTCTAATTTTGGTTAGAGATAGGCGATGCAAATTATTAAAAAAATATTTCTTGCATAGTCGCAAAAAGCTTAAGCCATTTATTGTACCTTCTTATTTATCGAATATATTTTCTATGTACTCTCGATCGCACGATTACAGCGCATGGTATTCGTGAATGAAAATCTGTCTTTAGATTGAATTTGAAATCCTATGGTAAATCTCAACTTTACTCTATATTCTTTATATAAATTTGTGTGAAAATTGTTTTTAGAGGTCAATCAAACGTTAGAGATTTATCAAATTTCAGTTTTCTATCCTAATTTTTATGACTACAATACAATTCATTTGGATTAGAAATATTGTGCTTCCACCTTAACTCAACATCTAAAAAAAGCAAAAAAATATTTTATTTTAATTTTTACATTTATCTCTGATTGTAATGGAAATGAAAATTAGCAATTTTAGATTTTGAAGACCTTAAGATTTTCCATTTGTTATCTCTATTTTTTCAAATCGTTAATCGTTGGTCGTGTTTTTGTTTAGTGCTGTTTTTTTTTTTAAATCTTTGTTGATAAATAAAGATGCAATTAAATAAAAGTTTTTCAAGTTTTCTTAACTATAACTTTATTATTAATCATATTAATTACTTACCTTGTAACGTAACGCATTTTGTTGTTTTTTTTTTATAAACTGTAATAATTTTCACGTATATTCGGTTAAAAAAACACTTTTACTTCAAAAACTTAATAAGTTATTCCCTTATGGCAGATTATGGCAGACTTTCTTCTTAACTTAATTTTTAATATTTGCTTTCAAAAACTAAAACGCTTATTGACAATTATGATTAAGCGGCTAGCGGCTTTTATAGCAAATTTTTAAGTACCAATCAGCTTTGCTTTAATAAGTATTAAACCTCAAGTAGAAAATAATAAAGAGAAACATGCAAGCAAGAATGAGTAAAGTGAACGTTTTGAGTTTAGTTCATATTTATTGGTTTTATAAAGTCTTATGGTTGCATTAGCCAATCACGTATCGTGTCGTAGCGAGCACGTAACAAACAAATAATAATTAATCATACATCTTCAATACCGCAACTCAATTGATATTGAAATTTTTTTCACCAAAGCAATTTTAACTTTACATTCAGCGTTAAAAGAAATTAAGGTATTTTTATCCGGCAACAATAAATATAGTTTTTATTTTTTAACTCTACTCAGTAAACCATTTGTTGTTAATTTGCTGGCCCGCAGAAGAAGAAGGATAACTTTGAAAACTTAAGACCCAAGTAGTAGTGGATTTTTCTTGTGTCCTCAATAGGCTTGTATATTGCAATTTCCGCAGATCGCAGGGCTTATAATCAATGGTATACTCTGTTCCTAATACGATTCTTTTCATTCTTTTCAAAGCAGAAGATCTGTTAAAAATTACAAAACTTTTGAAATAACAAATTTTACATAAAATCTATAGTGCATTGCTTAATTCTAATAATTAAAATCCTTCTGGGATTCCCTGACGAATCTCATAACAAGAAAGTACTCAGAAATAAAAATTCTTCCAAAACACACAGCGGCAAAGGTTTTCTTTTTTTTCTGGCAAAATTAATCCAAAATACCAATAACTCCTGTAAAAATCCTCTAAGGGATGCAGAGTTGAGAAGTAGCGAATATATTGACAATAATGCGGAATTAGCCAACAGGCTTTCAAACGACGACGATGACTTTAAAGGCGTAGAAATTCCGGATCGAAACTATATAAAATGTAATTAAACAGTTTTAAACAGTCTTGTTTGTAAACAGTCGATAAAAATAAAAAAAATTTTGCGTTTACCTTAGGGACTTTTTAACCTGAAAATAGGAATAACGCGTCATTATGAGCTGACGCAACGAAGCTCCGTTTGGAATGAATGAAAGTTGAACACATGAGAAGCAGCGTAAGCGAATACAATGAAGCCGTCCATGCCGAGAAATTTTTGGACTTTTTATGAATCTATTTAGAAATTGACTAGTTATATGATCTAGATATATATAAACAGCTAACATTAGAAGAGAATGAAGAAATATTCTTCATTGTGCCTTGCGGCCAAAGCAAGATCTCAAGAGGTGGCAAAGTCTTATGTATTATCCTGCTACGTAAGGACAGCGAGCCACGAAAAGGATCGTGTGGAAACGTAAGATTGTTATCGAGCAAGTGGTATAATATAAACACAAGGTGGTGCGTATATATTTGGTAAATATATAAATGTATTCACTGATGTTTTGAAATGTTGTCACGAATTGGGTTATCCGGCCATCAACTGAGGCCCGCTGAAAACGAGATGGATGTAGTTGCAGCAGTGGCCAACGCAGGTCGAAATGAGGCGGTTCCTGTGGTATCGATAAGTTGGAAAGAATAGCAGTGTCCCGCAAAGAAGCAAAATTGTGCCTGCCGGCGCATTAAAAAACAAAAACGATCATAACTTGACGAATGCGAAATAAAAACTCTTTCTTTATATACTTACGCATGCATAAACGGGATTGTTTATATTATTGCTTTGAGTAAAGTAAATTCGGTCATGAAATTATCAACTAGCTGCTTATCTAAAGTGCTTTTAGCTCTTTCGTATAAGTGCGCCATATTTTTCGGATCCCCTTGGTCACGTTCGAATTTAATATAATCAATCCACACTTGAGAATTAGTTTTACCAAAGTAATGTGTAGCATTTTCATAGCATTTCCGCCATCTGGACTTGTCTACCCGAAACTATATATATATATATGTATAAATTAGAAATAAATATGCACATTTATTAGCGGTACAATGTACTTTCAACATACCACTGACTTTACTTAATTCGTCATATTCTCTCCGAGTCCTATCCAAGGTCGACGTGGCAGAAATATATTCTAAATAATCTGCTCTGAAGGGAGCAAACTCTAAACTTAATTGCATGGCGGCATCCTTGGGGAAAATGACTATTCGAAACTGGGGCGAACCGGGCGAACTTTTACGATAACCTTCGTTATGCAGGTAAACATCAAAATTTATTGGCAATATTTCAATAGAAGAATCATCTTTCGCCTCCTCATTTTCTGTGTCATACGATTTTAAAGGGATAATGTTCAGTTTATGAAACGTTTCTCGAAATCTTTCATACTCAGCATCCGACTTAAGAAAGTCAATTAAGCTTTCATTTGGTATGTTTGCAGTTGTTGTAGCGGGTGTACTGAGGGTACAATTTCTTTTAATTTTATGCCAGTAATTGCAATCGTTATCATCTTGAGCGGGACGCTTTAAATTCGTTTCCATCTTCTTCCTAAAATCTAGATCGTTTTCACTATACTCATCGTTGCATACAATATTTTGTGTCCCTTTCTCTGGAGTTTTAATAGTTTCTTTTATTTGTTGAAATTGCTGCCTAATTTTTGTATAATCGACATAGTTACGTACGTAGTCAGGCACAATTTGTTCTTTTTGATTTCTTTTCTTGCTCTATTTCCATTTCCAATATATGCCAAATACAGTCTTCGCGAGATCGAATTTCCTGTTTTCGATGCGAGTGTGCTTTCGGTCGATTTTCATATTTGTTTAAAATGTAGCCAGAACGTGTCATAACTGAATACACCAAGTATTCGTCACAACGTTGAGAACGTTTTTCACCTATCAATAACAGATACGACTGTTCTATCGACGCAACGCAAGAGTTGTACTCCAGCTGCAAACGATTCTGAAAATTTATAGACTATTTTATAATCTTTTCTGATTGTTAATTTAGATATGGACTGACTTTTTCTAAAAGAAACAAAGCTTCATAATACTCCAGATAGTGCTGTCCGTGCTTCTCAAATTTACCATCTTTATGTATAACACGTAAAGCTTGGGTTTTATGGTCCCATTCAGCCAATGTCCGACCGCCTAAGCGTTCGATATGCGATCTAGATAACTGTTGCTCCAAGCAATCTTTGATAAAATTTTATTCAAAATTGTGTCATATCCTTACTGTAAAGCACAATTTACCATAAAGTTTCTCCAGCTCTTTAACCTCCTCTTCTGTATCTTTTGGTACAGTTTTCTTTAAACCAGCACTTGATATTCCTATATCTTTGTTTCTTAAAAGTATCAGTTCAGAACCTCTTAAATATTTAGTTTTTGGTTCGATTTCCACTACATCGTTTGTTATTTGAAAATCCATTCTTTAGAAATTAATTTCTTAAGCCACTAAAGTTGGAAGCATTTGCATTTATCTCTCGCTAGGACCTCGAATATAAACGACCAGAATTCCACCATAACGCATAATTTACAATTCAAACTGATTTTAACCTATCCATTAAACATATAAATCCGGCTTCTTTTATTCTCATTTAACTATTTTTCAGCGAATGCGGATGATTAACTGAGTTATTGCCATTTGCAACAATTATCGTATCCATTTGTGAATATAAGCCAAATATTTCAAGTATTGCCATCTTTAAATTGGAACAAAGAAATGATAACTAATACCAGGGGACATGAAAACAACAACTCCGAGGATAGCGGGAGATTATAAGTTGATTTGAAATATAGGAATTGGATTTTGCATTTTTTTTTGTTTTTTTTTTTGATTTGTGACACGCAAATGAGGATTTTTTCAGTAGTGCGTTATACAATAGTAAAAATATGGTTTGTCACTGTCTACATTACTAAATAAAACTAATTCGGTGCAGACTAGCTACATTTTTATGATTGAATTGTAAAACAAACAAACCAAATATATGCATTTGTTTAAGATGGAGCATCGAATTGTCTTGTTGTTGTTTCCTAATCCTAATTTAATTTCATGCATTCCACTTCTGTTCGATTTGTGGCCAAGATCCTTCTCGGTTAATTAAAAATTTCTTCACAAAACTCACTGAGCAATAGTATTTCGATTTTCTCAAGTGATATGAATAATTGGAGTTGGCCGGGGTGATGCTTGGAATTCTTTTAAATATATCTTATAAATGAATTTATAAATAAATAAATACATAAATATTTAAATAGATTTTCTTTTAAGAGAATTTTATTAATTAAATTAGGAAAGTAATAATTTATTAACAATTTTCGTTTTATATTTGTAATTGTCGCAAAAAGATTTTTTTTTTTTTTTTTAAATATAATTACATATATAAACTATTTATAATACTTGTATAGTAATAAAAAGTAATAATTTGTACGCTGATAGGTGGTGGTGGTGGTTGTGGTAGTTGTAATGGTGAATGGTTGTGGTGGGATCAGATATCTCGAATTCAAACGCATTTCAAAATACGTCCTGTAGAAGGTGTGGCTGTGACTTGTGTTAATAACAAACCGGTTATATTAGCATCGTCGTTATCATTACTATACAAGAAACATAGCAAAAGAAACTATTGAATTTTTCTTTTTGTTTTGCCTTTTGTTTTGTTTTGTTTTGTTTTTTTTTTTTTGTTTTATAAATTATTTATTTATTTATTTATTTTTTTTGCTTTATTTTGAATATTCATTTTTAATAAAAACCATTTAGAGTTGTAGCGGAAATTTAGTTCTTCGACAAGCACGTTGAGTTGCGTTATTATGATGATCGATCACAATACAATAGTAACAAGTACAGAAACATCAAAATAAGAAATCGTGCATCATTCCAAATAAAAATTGATTTCAAGACAACATAACGATGTTACATTACTTTACTATGTATCTAAGGTCTATGAGAAGAGAAATAGAAAACAAACAAAAAAACAAAAAACAAAAAAAAAAAAAAAAATGAAAAAGAATTAGGAAAAAACAAAATCAATCGAAAATGAAAATAAAAAATTCAAATGTTTTAAATTGAATTTGTAAGAGCATTAATGAATGAAATATGAAAACGACATATATATATATATATAGAAACGGTAAAAATGCAATATGTGTATGTTTTATTTCTCTCATCTGCGATAAAATCTATCGTGCGCTCATAAATGAAAAAAAAAGGTTAACGTAATTGCAGAAATTATAAATATCTCGAAATAGTCGATCGGTTAACGTTGATATTATGTCCGAACTAATTAGGTAGACGTCGTGTAGACGTCACGCAAATCTCGATTAGAGTCGATCCAAGTCAAGGGGACTCTAATGAATTTGAAATCACTGCAACGGGATTTCATGAATCACTTTCAAAGCCCCTTTTTTGCCTTAATCACGTTATTCCTGTGTATGGGTGCATACCTGGTTTGGCACGTATGCAGAAATAAAAAACAATTATAGTCTTTTTTTTTCCGTTTCAATGAATTAAATTCCAACTTGCCTTATATGGTGGTCAGCGAAAAGTTTTTTAAATAAACCAGAAATTTGATAGGAAATTGTGGATGAACTAAATAATTGATTACAATCATGGATGTTTTCATCGGACCCCTCAAACAGTATATTGGCATGTTTTGTTAAAGAGAGAAATTCATAACTGATTCCTTTAATTTAACCTTACATGGAAAATGATCAATTCCACCAAAAATTGTTATAATCTATGAAAAATGCTTACCATAGATAGAAGAATGGCTTTGAATTTTTAAATTTTAAATTTAATTTTTATATTGATCAATGGCAAACATTGAAGTCTTTCAGCTCGATAATAATACAGAATTAATATCGGTCATCTACTGATCAATACCTGATCTAAGTCAATTTCGATTCAGTTTAATCGCCCATCTGTTATTTATTACTAAAATTACCGCGAGAGTAAAAATTAAGATAGAAAGCTGATAGGCATCATCAAGTCCATCGCATCCGTTTTCAATTAGACAAATAAAGAGACAGAAGCCGTAACAGATATTGAACTAAGTTCTAAACCTAATTCGATTGAGAACAAATCATTAATTAAGAAAAACATTGGACCCTTATTCTATTATTATAGCAAATTTTTATCTGAATCAGCGCGAACTGATGCTTTACAAATTGATTTCAGCCAATGGATGCTAAACGCTCGACCCAAAATCCTTATGTGGATATAACTTTTCACAAATTTTCAAATTTCCTCCCTAAGTCGTCCCTAAGTCAATCAAATTTAATTATTGTCACCTCCCGGTTGACTACTTTATACCCACCTTAAAGCAATGCTTTAAGTATGGTAGATATGGTCAAGTTTCAAAATTCTGCGAAGCTAAGGAGAACAGATGCCTGAACTGAGGGACATCCCCGAGGTGTGTGAACTGTGAAACTATGAACCATTTGTCAACTTAATTAAGGAGGAAACACCAAAAAGAAGTTTCTATAACAACGTAAGGCTAATAGGAGATAAAGAGATAAGCGGGTCTCTGTGAAACCTAGCACCGACCTAGGTTTACTTAGAGAGAGGTCAACGTAAAAATTAAAACGTAGTCTTAAATTCATGAACGAATCTACGTTTATCAAATTCCTTCTTGCGTGAATGAATTATGATCAAAATACTATCTACAAAGGGCACACTTGCATGAATTATGATCAAAATACCATCTACAAACGGCACACTTGCATGCCTTCTGATAGAAAGTCTTAATACCGAAGAATTCATCAAATAACATGACGTGTTATATCAAGTGTATGTGAATGTTAAGCGAATGATAAATTGATGTTTGTTAAATTTTCAAATTTTCGTTTTATTTGGTTTTTGTATACAATAAACAAGAAATTTTATTTAATCAGAAAATTATGCTATATGTGCTTCTACTAAAAAAAATTTCATGCAAATGTGTCAGATATAAACAAAAACAAAATAAAAAAGTTACAGAGAGAATTTTTCTTATCTTTTGTTTACTTTTATTAAAAAATTTTTGGATATAAGTCGTTTTCAGACGCATACGGGTTGATTTTTGGTAATTTTGCGATAACTGTGGACTAATTTTTGGTAACTTTGTAACTGTTGGCAACTTTGTTCAAATATAAAATATTATTACATACTATGGCCGGGTCCGTTTTGACATATCTCAGCGAATTGTCGATTGTTGATTTGCTGAATTAAAGAACATAATTATGGCCACAAAAGGATTGTTTGCCGTAAATTTCGAAGTTTTTGGATTAGTTCAAGGTGTGTTTTTCAGGTATTTATCATAACCACTATTGCATCTCTGCTATTTCTAAAAATGATTTAATTACTTCGATTATAATTAGGAATTAACTTATGATAATTGTAAGCGGCTATCACGTTATTTATTTATTTTTGTGTTTGTACAATTGTTATTGTAATAAAACTGATGCCCAGCAGCTAAATACTCATTAGATTTTGTTATGACATCGTTGAACATGATAGAAATGGTTACCGCGATGATGATCCAGTTGTTTGTTGATATTGGTTGAATCGCATTTATAACGAAGACTAGATGTGCAGCAGATAAATGTCGTTGATGTAATATTTGCACCTATAGCGACATTCTTATTTAGTTTTATGGCTATCGCAGCAAAGTTGGACGTAAGATGAAGCGTGACGGTCAAGAACACTGCCAATAGAACTCGCAAGTGAATCTGTCGGAACTTAACTCCTCTCTGACTTTTTATGTCTATAGTACATTTCCGTAACCAATAATAACAGCTTTTTAACTGATCAGAACTTAACTGCATTTTGATCCAACATTCCCCCATTGCTTATTAGCTAGTATTCAAATGCCGATTTAATAATTGATTATAAACACTTTCTCTCTACTAAAAATCGTTTCATACAATGACCTCTAAACAAATCAATTATTTATTTATATTTTCAGGAAATATACTGTGCAGCGGGCAAAAGGCTTGGGGTTAAGAGGATGGTGCATGAATACTCCTAACGGAACCGTGCAAGGACAATTGGAAGGTCCAGAAACGAAAATAAACGAAATGTAAGTGATTTTATGAAATTTTGCAATCAATGAATTTAAATAATCCTCTTTATTAGGAAAGTTTGGTTAGAAACTAAAGGTAGCCCTAGTTCGCGGATCGATAAGGCGGTTTTTAGTGAAATGAAATCGATAGAAAAATATTCATTTTCCGATTTTGAAGTTAGACATTAATAGGATTGTGCGCTGCCTAAACAAGTTTGATTTTGTAATTATACTAGCACTACTTTAATATAAAGAAGACAATTAATTATTAAATATTTATTTATTTATTTATTTATTTATTTATTATTATTATTAACTATATAAAGTGCATTTAAACGGGAAATGAAAATAATTTATGATGACGACGTTAATAAAAATTTTTTCTTCTTTAGCTTTAAACTGATTATTATTATATTTTAAACTATTAAGTAATATGAGGAGGATTAATTGCATGTAAAAATACTATGAAGGAGTGAAGTCATTAAACTCTGAAAATATAGAATATTGATGATTATTCACATTTAGCTAAAGTTTTGGCAGCTTTGAAAGTATTATGCATCAACATAGCAACGGTCATTGGGCCGACGCCACCCGGCACGGGAGTTATCCAACCCGCTACTTGGCGTACCTCTGTGGATGTAAAAAGAAAGTGTAATTTTTAGTTGCGTAAAGCA